AAAAAAAAAAACACCCTATGACCGAATTTTATTTATTTATTTATTATTAAAGTCAATCTCCTTCAAAATTTCAAGTCAACGTGTTGCTTGTGGTTTCGTCGCAATTACATGAAACTAGCAAATTGAGAGAATTTTTTTTTTTTTTTCAGCATTTCTTTGGAAAACCTCTAACATTCACTATTAATTGAAACTCATTTAAAGCAGGGAGTAAACATATAGCCCCACAATCATATCTAAAGCATGCATGTCTTCTAGAGCAATCTTTATTAGAAACATCCTTGATAGGACTGCACAACCATCAGCTTCGCCAGACACCGACCGGCCACTAATGAAGAGGATTCAACAGGATCATTAGGAGAGACCACAGAGAGCTGAAATCACTTTCTCAGAACTTGCAAGCCAGTGGTTGTGTAACGCATGTATCAAACTGAAGTATAACAGACAAATTTGTCTGTATAACCAAAGTAGTTTAAAAATCCACCATTTATCCCTAAACGATTTCAAAGGCAAGGAGGGACATTACAATATAGAACCTACCTCACTACTGGTGGTGTAGTGCATAGTAATGCCAACATAAAACACAGCAGTCCATTTTAACTGGTGAGTGTAGTGCATAGTAATGCCAACATAAAACACAGCAGTCCATTTTAATACAATCTATACGAATAAATACTTATAATATACCATGACCACCACAGTTACACTTCAAGCATTTCAATACTTCATTAAAGGCTTACAAGTCATGATTAGCCCCCGATGCTAAATTGCACGTAAAAGAACAAAACATTTGGAAAATGATTTAAAAAAAAAAGGAGCTCAGGAGTGATGGTATACGTACCTGGTAACAACCCTGCAGCCAAATGAATAGATCCATTTACTGTAAAAACAAATACGTACATAATTTTGTAGCTATAGTACAACATTAATAACGTAAATCTTGGTTATTGTGTTTTCCTTGTTTAATTAAAGAACTATAAACATATAACAGCAATCTTAATGACTCAAACTACACCAACACAAAAGTTTAACTTCCACTGGACGTCTGGTAGACTAGTGTATTTTTATACGTTTTGATGTGTGCCTAAAGCCCTTTTTTATAAGTTCTTATTTATAGATATTGCTTCACACTGTGTAATGAAGTTAAAAGATCTCACCTGTGGCTGCTCTTTCAGCTCTTGTGCTCAAACAAACAGAGACACAAAATAAAGCAACAATCAACGAGCAGCACACTCGAGCTGTCATCCTCTCGACCTGCGACCTCACAATACACTCTGCTGAAAAAGGCACTGATTTAGTGAGTCAGGAGGCTTTTAAGACACTTTTTGAAAATGCGTTTTTAAGGATCCAAGGAGGCCTGGCGCAACTCCAACTCTGATGAAACTCACCTGCCTGT